GTCCGTTTCCCCGTCCTTCGTTTGGGCTGCGACGATTTGGGTAGTTACGCTTGATGTGCCCAATCTTCCCGCATTGGTAGCACATGACGTTTGAGGTATTTCGCGGCTGCCTTTCCATCATTACCAGCTCCATGGGTGTAGGACCATTTGCACGAGCAGCTAGAGCGTGATTCATGTGGCCCATTCTCATGCCATTGAAGTGTTGGAACACAGCGAAGTTGATCGTATCGAAGCGTTCTGCCACACGGATCATGTCATCCATTGACGCTCCACCTCGGTACGTATCTTTAGTTTTAGTCCACGCTTGAACTTATCCATCTACTCGAAGGCAGGGATATCGGGAATCTCCAGCACCACCCCTGAAAGCGGTTGACGTATTCGGCTACGGAGTGGTGTTGGCGTAGTGCATCGAGGTTGTCATGAGCGCGTTCAATCGCATAGACAAGTTTGAAGTTCATGGTGACTGATGCTGAAAATTCTTCCCATGTTGAAATTGTAGCGTGGCAACTCTGCCACCAAGTAGCAGCAGCTCCTCGCAGCATCATGCCAGCGTGATGCGCCCATTCGGCTTGGTTCACGTGGCATAGGGAAAGATACTCCTCTGTTTGGAAGAGCCACCTTCGCACAGGTAGGTCTCGTTTTCCAGGGACAAACGGCTCAGTTTCCGGTGCTTTTAGACGTGTAGAGACCACAGCAGGTGCTGGCGCCGGCACCTGTGTGCCCAGGAGTCCAGGTTCCTAGAGTTCGCCAAGGATTCGGTCACGCACCTCGCGCTCAATTTTTCGGCCCATATGGGCGACAAACTCGTTCCACAGTTCCGGAGTCATATCAGACGGCCGAGCCATAGGGTCTAGAATATGGCGGGAGCGTGCGAAGTGACTAACCAGACTCTAATTACCAGTGAAACGTTGCTGGCAGGGAGGTAGCAGCCTTAGTGAGCTTGAGAAGCGAGTATGGAGTGCTCTCTAGGGTTATCTAAAATTTGCACTATGACTTCACAAATTTGACAATACAATTTTATAGAGCACATTCATACATCGCACTCGCAACTCGCGACACTCTGAATTTCTCAATGGTAACCCAACCCTTTGAAATGAACTTGCCGTGAAATTCAGAGAATTATTGCGGTACGGGATTGGACGGCGAGCTTGGTTACGAGGCTGTAATTTCATCGGTGTTGTTGGCGAAGTCAGCGAGTGGTCAGAAGTTTGGTGTTCTGCGTTTCGTAATTTTCGTGGGTGGGTTTGACTTGGGCTGCTTGTTGGAACTTTATCGCCCAACTGCAGGTTGAGGCACTTGACCAATGTGGACCATAGATGAGGTGGCGCTTGACTTCCGCCCACCTGCATTGCAATTGGCAGCACTCGGCTGCTGCACTATTACAGAGGATGGTGGAGCATCTGACGGCGGCACAAGAGAGTCTGTTGGCGAGAGAGGTGGTAGTTAGGCAGGGAAGGAAGGAAGGAAGGGTGGGAGAGACAGGCAGGGAGGAAGGGACTGGTTGCTGGTGGGTCGTGGGATTGAGTGGCATGTGTGGCATGGTAAGGTGGTGAGGTGGAGAAATAAGAGGTAAAACGAGGGGATTTGAGGGCGAGTGAGGGGGCTGGACCTCACGAGTTGATGGTGTTAGGGTGGTTCGCCACTGCCCTAGTGACTACCGACCTACACGCTTGGATTAAAATCGGTAACGCAATGCTAGAAGTGGTGGGAAACCGTCGATGTAATGAAGGGAAACGATGACCTAAAGTGGGACAGCTAGAAAGGTGGGGTTGAAAGCTAAAGAACTGTGGAAGGAATGTGTGAGGAAAGTGGAAAAAACGGAATGGTAGAAGAGTGGGGTTCAAAAAATGTCGAATATACAGTTTTTGCGAACCTAAATGCCCAACTGCGTACCGAACCGCATTCGGTGCAGATGCAAGAAAAAGGTTTCGGTGTTGGTCACCGAATTTCCGTTTCGGTGTTGACCACCGAATTCGGTACCGCGTGCAATTCGTTATGGCAAGCAAACATCGCATCACGCGAACAACATACCATATTCTGGGACGCTTACATTGTGTTGGTGGTAGAATCAATTTTCAACACTTGGTTGTTCAACACTCTGCTGTTCAAATACGTCGGCTATTTTGTATGTTTTTGTGATTGAGTGAACGGTGAACCAAGTAATCAGAAACCATACCAAGTATTCAGAAACCATTTCACTTCAGTTCTACGGAAACTGAGAGCTGCGCAAGTTGGAATTGGGTGATTGTGGTGATCACGATAGGCATTAGCAAGCAGACTAGTGCCAATCATGGTTTGCTTGCACCCCATGCAACGCATGAAGCACGGGGCATGGGGTGCCGTATGGACACGGGGTGCCGTATGGACACGGGGTGTTGTATGGACACGGGGTACCGTATAGGCATGAGGTACCATATGGGCATGGGCGTGGGCATGTGCATGGGCATGGGCATGTGCAAGAGCATGGGCATGGGCATGGGCATGAACATAGGGAATGGGCATGGGCATGGGCATGGGCATGAACATAGGGAATGGGCATGGGCATGGGGTATGGAAATGGGTATGCGGTATGAGGCATGCGGTACGGGGCATGCATCATGGGGCAAAGCCATGGAGAGGCATGTCTCTGCTGCCCTCTCTCCACTCGCCCTTCGCCCCACACACCCCTCTCCCCACACATCACTCGCCCCCTCACCTGCCTGCAGCCCTGCTCGTTCCATGCACATCTGTGCTGCTGCCATCCCTGCCGGTATGAGGGAGTAGCTGAGAGATCAGCAGCACAGGGGGCGCAGAGGCAGGAGGCGCAGAGAGGGGTGAAGGGAAGGGATGTGTAGTGCGGGAAAGGTGGGTAGTGGGTGTTTTAGGAGGGCAGTGGGGTTTTAGGAGGACAGTGGGGGTTTTAGGAGGGCAGTAGGCGGGGAATCAGGCGCAGGAACCAGCAGGGCAGCACGGGAAAGCATGGGGGGGGCCTACGGCTGCATCGGGGCAAGAGGGCAGGAAGAGATGAAGCACATGACCAAAGCAGCGCTCTTACAGAGCAGGGCGGGGGCAGCAGCACTCTCACAGCAGCGCACACACCGGCGGCACTGCTAGTCCACCAGCGCATGCTGCCTGAGCGTGGTTAAAGCACTCCAGCCGCATTAGAAGTTGAGTGACCCACTAGCGGACACATAGGGATGCACGTGACCAATGCAACGCTCTTACAGGGCAGGGCGGGCAGCACCCAACACACTCACAGGGAGGGGCGGCCTTTCCGCCAGTCCACGAGCGCATGTTGCCTGAGCGTGGTGAGAGCGTTCCAGCCGCAGTAGTAGTTGTGCCCCACGTGGGCGAAGGACTGGCACGGCAGCCTCCGCCGCGGAATAGTTGGGCTTTGGGGCACATGGGGAGGGAGGAGGGGCAAGGAGGAGAGGTGAGAGAGAGGGCGAGAGAGAGGGGTGAGCGAGAGGGGCAAGGGAGATGGGCGAGAGGGAGAGGCAAGAGAGGAGGGGCGATAGAGAAGAGAGAGAGCTGAGGAGAGGGAGACAGAGGCAGAAGAGGTGGGTGAGCCAAGAGATGTGAGAGACAGGCAGGAAAAGACAAGAGATGCAAATGGGGGCGATAGCAACGTGGTAGCGTTGAAGCTACCTTTCGCCGTGATACCATGATGACCCACGTGATGACCCATGCAAGACTATGATAACATGTAATGTCGCAAGCCTGAACTTTCTAAACCCCGTATCCTTTACTTCACATGCGAACTGGAGTACCCCTTTCACAGTGCTCCGTTTCTTGCCGAAAGTGAGGCCCAACGTGAGGCCCACCTCCGTATCCCCTAATTGGCCTGTTCTGCAGGCACCAAATTGCGATCAGGTTTTGGCCAAAAGTGGCAAATTCGGGTTTGGCCAGGTACCGACCTCAGAGTCAATTACATAGAATTATCTATAAATTCGACAACAGCCGTTAGACCCATATGGCTCGCCGCCCGTGGAGTTCTAACCCACGACCACAGGGTTAAGAACCTTGCGCTCTACCAGCTGAGCTAGGGCGGCTGATGTTTGGGGAAGTTAATTTTTTTACTCCAAAGTTACTACATCACTAAGTTACACATCCCATAGTACAAGTCATGGTATTGCATGAATCCAAGTGCTTGTAACTGTTGGGCTGAGTGCCCTTTAGGATCTTTGGAAGTCTGAGTAAAGTGATGTAGTAGCGGAAGCGTGATTAAGTAAGGTACTTGAACCACCTTGCGCTAGTATGTGAGGGCAAAGTAAGTTGATTAAAGCAAAGAGGTACAATAATATATATATGAATACAGAGAATATGAAGAGACACTATAACTACTTTACTGTTGCGGTTCGATACAGCGCGACTCGGGCAACTGCTCAATGTCGAGTCAGTTGTGTGTCCTTGCTGTCGCGCTGCATTTGTCAGGTCAAAGGTCGCTGACCTTGGACTTTCGCGTAACCTCCAGCGGTTATATCAACCTCTGAGGGTTGACTCGCTGGTGCCTCGATATGCGCTGCTTCGCTTGTGTCTTGGTGTTTCGACACGACAAAGGCGCTTAAGATTGTTTGTTCCCAACAGTAACTAGATGGGTGTACATAAGAGTTCATGAACCCGTTTACTGATTGCAGCACCGACAGCCTTTCCCTTTACATTCACACCACACAGCAGTCGCTCCTGTGCCTCCCGGTTTCCCTCCTGCCCATGCAGGTGAGGAAGAGAGATTAGGGAGAGGGCAAGAGGGTGAGAAACAGAGAGCGGAGAAGAGAGAGATGCAGGCAAGGGCAGGCGGGGGCAGGAGAGGTGCAGAGAGTTAGAAGGCGGTAGGCGAGGGATGAGTGGGTAAGATGGTGAGTACAGGATGACATGAGGCGGGTGCCTCATGATACAGACACCTCAATTCTTCCGTTGGGTGGAAAGGAGATTGGAGATATGTGACTGTTAATAGGAACAAGGAGAATATAAGCAACCGTACAAAAGCTATCTTGGGGTTGATGTTAGTGTAGCTGGGTATGCTAAGTCAAGTAGGGAATTGCAATGCAGGCAAAAGAGGGGAACGGCGGACGCACGAGGAAGGTGTAGGCAGCGTGGAGGACCGGCAGGGAGGGGTAGCGGCGGAGGATGGCCGTAGCCATGTCCACTGTTAGGCCTCTCACCTGATGGGATGCAGAGGAAGGTAGCACGTGGAAAAGGGACGGGGTTGGAGTGGAGAGATGGGGATGAGTACGGTGGCGGAGGATGGCCGAGGCATACCCACTGTGAGGCCCCACACCTGAGGGAACGCAGTGGAGGACAGCAAACAATAAGGGGACGGAGTGTAATTGGAGAGACAGGAATGAAGAGAAGCTGTGGAGGATGGCTAGCCATGTCCACTGAGAGGCCACGGACCTGACGGGATGAGGGGGAAGATGACACGTGACAAGAGGGACGGGGTGGGAGCGGAGAGACGGGAATGGAGTGTGGTGGTGCAGGAATGTTGTGGCCTCGTGTACACTGTGAGGCCAGCACACCTGAGGGGGCGAGAGGAGGGGTTTGGCTAGATGGACCAGTTTTTGAGGTGTCTCAAAAGTGGATCAGCACTGTGGAAGGCACACACATGTGAAGAAGACACTGTATTGCGATCGAGCGGGAGAGTTTTCGCGAGTGACTTTGCAATCACAGCTGCAGCAGGATGTGGCAGCAACTCACCCGCAGCAGGATGTGGCAGCAACTCACCCGCAGCTGAATGTGGCAGCAACTCACCCACAGCAGGATGTGGCAGCAACTCACCCGCAGCAGGATGTGGCAGCAACTCACCTGCAGCAGCATGTGTAAATTCTTATTGGTTGAGTTGACTCAAGAGCACCTGCAGAGGCATGTGGCCTCAACGCACCTGCAGCAACATGATTTTTGAGACGTCTCAAAAATCACCTGCAGCAATGCTCTGTTGATCCGATCCAAAGCCCACCTGTAGCAGTCTATGACCAAATACATCCCCAATTAAAAGAGCGTGTGAGATGACTTTTGAGCTAACTCAACAGTCATCAAGCTGCAAGATGTGTCGACTCAACTTAAAGCCCACCTGCAGCAGCATGTGCCCAAAGACATCGCCCACTGAGAGAGCCTGTGAGGATCGGCAGTCATCCAGAAATTGATCAAAGGTGACGCAGCAGTCGCGAGGAGTGGGAGAGGAGGACGGGGCATGGAGTGCGGGAGAGTGGGGCATCTGAGTCGAGGATGTGTGGTGGGGTGCGGTGGAGAGGTGGTTGCAGATGTCAGTGATGGCCCGAGTGAGATGAGCGTAGTGGCGGCGCGTGTGAGCGATGCACGTGGTGTGATGCACGTCAAAGCCGTCGTGCACTAATGTTTGGACGGATCTGGTGTCATGTATGCATGAAGTGAAGGGGCAGGGGGTATGAGGCACAAAGACAGGAGAGAACAGGTAACGATCCACATGAGAATTCTCAAAAGTGATTTCAAGATAGGAGAGAACGGGTATCGATCCACGCGGTGTGATGCACATCGAAGCCGCCGTGCACTTGTGTTTGGACGGATCTGGTAGTGTGGGGTGGTGCGGAAAGGTGATAAGACATGACGCCAGATATACGAGAGAGTGGGTCGCGATGTACGTGGTGTGATGCACGTCAACGCCATTATGGAGTCAGTGTTTGAACAGACCTGGTGGTATGAGTAAAAGGAGGAGTGGAAGGGAAATGTAGAGGAAAGTAAGACAGGGAGTGTGGGCAAGGCATTTGATGAGATGGGGGGGGTGTGGTAAAAGATGGAAACTTGTTGAGATGCTGGAGTGGGCGAAGCTTTTGCGAAATCTAAAAAGACTACATAGCTTTTGTATAGACTAAGTCACCATGATGTGGTGAGAAATTTGTAGAGATGCTGGACTAGGAGACCCCGTAGCTTACAAAATTCTCAGAAGGAAACAAGAAACGTTGGTCGGGGTCCGGGGATACCAAAGGTGTCATGACACACAAAGGGTGATGAAACGAGATGGAGAAAGAGACAACGTACGCCGTGCGCAGGCTCTCCGCTCCGTTGCTGGCGTCCAGATTGCCCTCCACCACGTAGATTGGGCGGCGAAGACCACAGTGCTGAGATGGGGAAAGAGAGAAGGGCCAAAGAGGTGCAAGAGGAAGAAGAGGAAACGTGTACTTATGAGCATGAGAAGGCTGCAATGCAGAGAGGAGGAAAGGGAAGGGGAAGGGAAGGGGAAGGGAAGGACTGTGCGAGCGAGGTGAGGAAGGATGGGACGCCTGTTCGTCCCATTTACCACTTGCTCCCTACCTCTCCCTCTCTCAATCACTCCATCTCTTCCACCCTCACTCTGTCACTCTGTCTCACTCCCACTACACACTCACTGACTGTGGCTTCCACTAACCTTCTTTCTCAGCTTCTTATTGCTTTCAAGTCAACCCACCTTGATCCTCTGCTTCTGGTCCTTGGATCGCTTTGAATTGATTGACCCCCACAGTCATCCACCCACCCCTTGCGCTTCGCCACCCACTTTAAGCAGACCAGAGGGGCGGGCAGAGCAGGGGAAGCAATAGAGTGTAGTGGCTGGCTATTGAGAATTATCCAACACCAGCTAGACCCACCTTGATCCTCAGTTTCTGGTCCTTGAATCGCTTTGACTTGATTGACTGCCACAAGTCATCCACTCTCTTGCGCTCCGCTACCCACTCCAAGCAGAACAGAGTGCCGGGCAGAGCAGGGAGAGCGGAAGAGGCAGGGAGGGCTGATGGGGGATCAGCAGAGGAGGAGGATGGCGGGACGGACGAGGGTGGAGAGGAGGAGGAGGTGGAGGGGGGTGCGGCGGATGAGGTGGGAAGTGTGAGAGGTTGAGCCACCCAAAGGGCATCGCCCACAGGCAGTGCTGCCACCTGATGGTAGCACTCGGGAGCGGGGAAGGTGAGGAGGGGGCTTATGAGAAGTCTGAAAAGGCGTGGATGGGGAAGGGGGTGTGGTCGGAGGGGTGAAGGGCTGAGCCACCTAAAAGGCATCTCCCACAGGCAGTGCTGCGACCCGATGGTGATGGCCGCAGGCAGGCGCCACGAATGAAAGGGATGGCGCTTCTGAGAGCTCTCAGAAAAGGGCGGGAGGGAGGTGCAGTGAATGAGGGTGGGGGTGAGGGGCTGAGGTGAGCCACCCAGAAGGCGTCGCACACAGGCAGAGATGCGACCTGGTGGTGATGACAGCAGGTGGGAGTGGGGTTGGGGGGGTTATGAATTAGACTGAGGAGGGCCAGAGTGTGCGCGAGGAGGGCAGGAATGGTTAGGGCGAGAGAGTAGGGTTTGAGGGTAGGGAGGGCGTGAGGGTAGGAAGGGCGTGAGGGTAGGAAGGGCGTGAGGGTAGAAAGGGCGTGAGGGTAGGAAGGGCGTGAGGGTAGGAAGGGGTGAGGTGGGAAGGGGTGAGGTGGGAAGGGGTGAGGTGGGAAGGGGTGAGGTGGGAAGGGGTGAGGTGGGAAGGGGTGAGGTGGGATGGGGTGAGGTGGGATGGGGTGAGGTGGGAAGGGGTGAGGTGGGAAGGGGTGAGGTGGAAAGGGGTGAGGTGGGAAGGGGTGAGGTGGGAAGGGGTGAGGAGTCAAATGCTGGGGAGCACCCCTTTAAGAATCCCCCGGAAGCATTGAATCAAGTGGGTGTTGTCACTCGGTTATGCGGGCAGGAGCGCAGCAGATATGAAGGGAGTAAAGAATTTACTCGGCCTGTTATGAATCTACACTAGCAAAGCGGCAAAGCCCACTAGCAGAGCAGAGCGGCGAGGCACAGAAGGAAGGCAAGGCAGCGAGGCAAGGTACCTGTGCCGGAAGCTTTTCCACTCTAGTGAGGAACTCCGTGAGCTGTGCTGCCCTGTGGGGCAGATGGAAGGTGCGGGGAGAGAGAAATGCAGTGAGCTGGACTGCCCGGTTCGCCAGATGAGCATGCAGAGCGGGAGTAAGGAGAAACGTAAGAGGATGGGAGTGGAAGAGCAGGGTGAAGTTGACAAGGAGGTGAGGAAAGGGAAAACTAGCTAACAATGATGAAGGACCGAAGGAGGGAGAAAGGAGGAATGAGAGTCGTCAAATACGGCTGCATTGATCTACTCCATCGATTCTCGCCACTCTCACCCCGTCCTCACCCCTCCTCACCCCTTCTCCGAATTGAATATCAGACGCACCACTCAGCACGTGCCACAGAACTGCTGTCTATCCCCGTCCTGCCCTCACACCTCACACCCAACCCCCACCCCTCGCACACTTCCGCACCGCTTCCCACCCCTCCTCACCCCTTCTCCCGGCTGTCAATCAGCAGCACCACCCGGTACGCATGGCAGAAGCGCTGCCCCGCTGACAGGGGGGGCAGGCGGATGTCAGTTGTCTCCGCGAGTGAGAGGCAGGTGGGTGTCGATGATGGGGGGAACGTGGATAGCGATGGGCGGTAGGTGGGCAGAGGTGGGAGGAGGGCGAACTGTGAAGGAAAAAGGTGTGGTGCTGCAGAGGAATTGTGGCAGTCTTCTGGTCGGCCTGAGAGTTGTTGAGAAGCAGGGGAGTGTTGCATGCAAGGGTGAAGATGAAAACAATGTGAGAGAAGGGAAGGAATGGCAAGACGGAGAAGCAAGGAGGAAGGGAAATCAGGGACAGAGAGCTGGGAGAGAAGAATATGCATATAAACGCCATTCACTTGCATGCACGCACCACTCAATGCATGCAGCGATGCCAGGAATGCCGAGGCTTCACTTCCCAGCACTGCCTCTCCCTCTCCTGCTGCTGCTGCTCCTCCTCCAACTCTGCTACTAAGTAGTGCTGGAGCTTCTCCTACCGCTGCTGCTGCTACTGGTGCTTGTGCTCTTCTCTTCCTTGCAGCTGCCGCACTCACTATTGCTTCTGCTGCTGCTACTGCGGCTCTGGCTGCTACAGTCGCGCCACCATCGGCAGCACTGCTTGCTTGCCGCTTTCGACCCCTCCCCCCTCTCCCACCCCTTGTGACTCCTGCCTCCTGCCTCCTGGTGTTGGGTCTATCTTCTTGCTCCTCTGCTGTCTGTGTGCAATGCACGTACACATGAGTCAAGGGGTTGAAAGAAATGGAGAAGAGAGTGGGGGGCATGGGCAACGAGTCGAGTTCCGACACCTTTTGTTCCGACACGGCTCGACTGTAAGCCGAGCGAACTCGACTTTACTAACTTGGCGAGTCGGCAACTCGACGCCGTCCCCCACCTCAAGTTCCTGAGGCACTTCAAAGAGATGACTTGTTGATTAACCTGCAGCGACAGCCAGCCAACTTGGGGGCGTCCGACTTGACTCGTTACCTGTACAATTTGTATTGACTCGTATCAATGCAAGTAGATTGCATCGAAATGCGTTTCAAGCCACGGATTCTGTGGGAAGTGGTTTGGGACAGGTCAAATTTGTCTGACAAAATGTGATGGTTCTCAAGCAAAAGCTCGGCATTTTCGATTCCGGGTTCCACAAGTTCCATTGGCTAAGACCAAATCCTCGAAGAACTTCTAATTCTCTCTTGCGATCAATTTCCCAAGGAATCACCTTGTTTGTACCAGAGGCAGTTTGGTTGCTTGTACAGATGTGAGAGCAACTTTGGTGGTAGTTGGCTACCATAAGTGAAGTGATTGTGCAAAGAAATGGAAGGAGGCAGGAATGAGGAAGGGAGGGGCACGCAGAGCCACAAGGGTGGAGTAGGGAGTGGGAGAAAGCAGGCATGGGCCATGAGGAAGGGGATGCAGAAGGAGGGAGGGGAGGGAGGAATTGAATGCATATTGAGGAGGAAACGGGGGAAAGTGACCGAGGTTCACCTGGTGAGCGGGTGGATTCAATGGAGGCATAGCTGCTGGTGGAGGGGCGGATGGCAGAGCGGTGGTGGAGGGTGGCAGAGCGGTAGAGGATGGTGGAGCATCTGAGGGCTGCACGAGAGAGTCTGGGGGTGAGAGAGATGGCAGTTGGGCACGGAAGGAAGGCCAGGAGGTAGAGGCAGGCAGGGAGGAAGGCAGTGGTTGATGGTGTGGATAGCGGGATTGAGTGGCATGTGTGGCGTGGCATGGGGGTGAGGTGGAGAGAGTAGAGGTAAAACAAGGGATTTCGAGGGCGAGTGAATGCAACGCATCAAGCATGGGGCATGGGGTAACGTATGGGCACGGGGTACCGTATGGGCATGGGGTATGGGCATGGGATATGGGCATGGGGTATGGGCATGGGGTATGCGCATGGGGTATGGGCATGGTGTATAGGATGGGGAATGGCAATGGGGTATGGGCATGGGGTTTGGGGCATGCATCATTGGGTATGCATCATGGGGCATGCATGTCTCTGCTGCCCTCTCTCCTGCCCCTCTCACCCTTCGCCCCACTCATCTCTCTGCCTACTCACCCCTCTCCCACTCACTCCTCTCCCACTCACCCCTCTCCCACTCACCCCTCTCCCACTCACCCCTCTCCCACTCACCCCTCTCCCACTCACCCCTCTCCCACTCTCCCCTCTCCCCCACGCACCTGTCTGCAGCCCTGCTCGCTCCATGCACATCTGAGCTGCTGCCACCCCGGCCGGTGTGAGGGAGTAGCTGAGAGATAAGCAGCACAGGGGGCGCAGAGAGAGGTGAGGGGAAGGGATGTGTAGTGAGGGGAAGGTGGGTAATGGGGGTTTTAGGAGGGTAGTGGGCGGGGATTCAGGCGCAAAAACCAGCAGAGCAGCACGGGGAAGCATGGGGGCCCCTAGGGCTGCATCGGGCGGCATGTGGGCAGCATGGGGACAGCATGGGGGCAGCATGGGGGCAGCATGGGGGCAGCATGGGGGCAGCATGGGGTGGCATGAGGGCAGGAAGTGATGAAGCACATGACCAAAGCAGCGCTCTTACAGAGCAGGGCGGCAGCAGCAGCACTCTCACAGCAGCGCACACACCGGCGGCGCTGCCAGTCAACCAGCGCATGCTGCCAGTCAACCAGCGCATGCTGCCAGTCAACCAGCGCATGCTGCCAGTCAACCAGCGCATGCTGCCAGTCAACCAGCGCATGCTGCCAGTCAACCAGCGCATGCTGCCAGTCAACCAGCGCATACTGCCAGTCAACCAGCGCATGCTGCCAGTCCACCAGCGCATGCTGCCAGTCAACCAGCGCATGCTGCCAGTCAACCAGCACATGCTGCCAGTCAACCAGCGCATGCTGCCAGTCAACCAGCGCATGCTGCCAGTCAACCAGCGCATGCTGCCAGTCCACCAGCGCATGCTGCCAGTCAACCAGCGCATGCTGCCAGTCAACCAGCGCATGCTGCCAGTCAACCAGTGCATGCTGCCAGTCCACCAGCGCATGCTGCCAGTCCACCAGCGCATACTGCCAGTCCACCAGCGCATGCTGCCAGTCAACCAGCGCATGCTGCCAGTCAACCAGCGCATGCTGCCAGTCAACCAGCGCATGCTGCCAGTCCACAAGCGCATGCTGCCAGTCAACCAGCGCATGCTGCCAGTCCACCAGCGCATGCTGCCAGTCCACCAGCGCATGCTGCCTGAGCATGGGGAGTGCACTCCAGCCGCAGTACAAGTTGAGTGACGCACTAGCGGACACATAGGGATGCGCGTGTCCAATGCAACGCTCTTACAGGGCAGCGCGGGCAGCACCCAACACACTCACAGGGAGGGGCGGCCTTTCCGCCAGTCCACGAGCGCATGCTGCCTGAGTGTGGTGAGAGCGCTCCAGCCGCAGTAGTAGTTGTGCCCCACGTGGGCGAAGGACTGGCACGGCACACCCCGCCGCGGAATAGTTGGGCTTTGGGGCACACGGGGAGAGAGGAGGGGCGAAGGAGGAGAGGTGAGAGAGAGGGCGAGAGAGAGGGGTGAACGAGAGGGGTGAGCGAGACGGGTGAGCGAGAGGGGCAAGAGAGATGGGCGAGAGGGAGAGGCGAGGAAGGAGGGGCGATAGAGAAGAGAGAGGTGAGGAGAGGGAGACAGAAGCTACCTTTCGCCGTGATACCATGATGAGCCACGTCATGACTCGTGCGAGACCATGATAACCTGTAATGTCGCCCGAACGCTAGCAACTAATACCTTAAGTATGTCTTGACTCGCTATGTCGTTGACTCTCTGCCATCACGTAATTAGTTCCACTGATACTACAAAAAAGCCAATATGCAGGTTCTTCATACCACACACATGCCACGTGGCAGAAATTACGTGCCATGCGGCAAATACTACATGCCACATGGCAGATACCTCATGCCACGTGGCAAGTACTTCCTTAACGCCTAAGTGGCGAAATACGCGTATAGCGTATATACGCGTGTCGTATATACGCATGCGTTTATACACTATACGCTAAGGTCCCGAATCCAGGAATACGCTTTTTCGGGCAGGGTAAAAAAAACCCGGGCAGGGTGAAAAAAACACCCTAGGTATAGTTCACAGGGGCGATTCACGGAGGTTATGTCTCAGGTTCATTTTTTCCCCTATGACGCAAAATGCTTAAAGACTTCGTGCTCAACATCGGGAAGTTGCTTCCCTAGTCTCACAAAGAGGACGTGCCCTATCGTTATCTTGCGTGGGATCGGGTGGCGGGTTGGGAACAGTAGACATTGATTGCGTTTTGGACTAGGATTGAGTGACTAAGTGAGTACGACGAAGTAGATCTGACGAGAAACGATGTGTTGGAGGGGACGTAGTGGAAAGGTTGGAGTTCGTAGATTGGGTTCGGTTCCAAGAGGTGGAACCCTGAAATTCGAAATTGCAACTCCAACCTGAATCCAAACATTGAAGTGACATTCCCGCTACCATAGATCTCCGATGCGCATTTCGACCACCGCGAAATGATCGCCGTGAAAAACGGCAGATTTCTTTATATTCCTGAAAATTTTCACCTTGGGCTGCCCAGAAAAAAACTCCCGAGCGTATTGCGTATTTGCTAGCGTATTGCGTTTTGCGTGTATACGCAAGCGGATAAACGCTATACGCTTAAAGGCAAAAGCGTATTTCGCCACTTAGCTTAACGCCATAAGCCATAGCTTGCGGCACCGTTCTCCTTACAGCCGTGACAGCAGGCTCGGCCCTCGTTGCCCTTCCACCGTCCACCTTCTCAAGGGCCGAGCAACGGCAAAATCGTGCAAGCTCATGTGTCCCTTGCCTTATAACTCATCCCATGCCCGTGCGGCTCTCTCTCACACGACCGCATGACTCCCCTGCATGCCCCCCTCTCACCACGTATCCTCTTTCTCTCTGCATTTCCCGCCCTGCATGCAGCCCGCTCTCACCACATATACGCACTCTGCATTTCCCGCCCTGCATGCCCCCTGCTCTCACCGCAAGCCCAATTCCCACCCTCCCACCGCGCTTGCACCCCACCCCTCCCTCGCCCTTCTCTCGCCGCATGTTGGTGGTGTTTGTAAGCCCGCTCACTTCCACTGCTGCCCCCACCTGCTCCTTGCCCATGCCTCCCCCTCTCTCACAGCATCGCCCCGCCCTTATGTCACCAAACAAACATCCCCACTGCTCTCGCCACACACCCCCCTCCGCTCACCGCATGTTGGTGTCTGTCAGACCACTCCCCTCCACTGCTGCCACCAGCTGCTCCTTGCTCATGCTGCCCTGCCCCTCCTGCTGCTGCGCCCTGCCCATTCCAAAGAGGGACAGCAGTGGAGAAGGGAGGGGAAAGGAACCCTTGGGTTTTCGGGGCATTGGATTCTCACCAATGTTTGCGTTACTCAAGCAGACATTCTCACTTCCGCTTCGTCCACACCTGTTTGCTTTGCACTGATGCTTCTCCCTAATGCGGAACGCTGGGGGCGCCCCTTCGCCCCAAGTTACGGGGCCATCTTGCCGAGTTCCTTAGAGAGAGTTGTCTCGCGCCCCTAGGTATTTTCTACCTACCCACCTGTGTCGGTTTCGGGTACAAGTGCCCACTTGCCTTGCTTCTCTTGGCAAAAACCATAAGGTTTGTGCCAGTATTGGCGTAAGAGCTTTCCTCTACAAGGAGACATGCGAACAGGAGCAGTGGCGCCTGAGTGGATAATGTTGAGGCAGCTGCGGGCTGCCGGCAATGAGGCAAGATGAACACCTGAGGCGGCACCTGAGGAGACACCTGAAAGCCTGAGGGCTGAGAAGGCAGGCAAATCTGAAACGGCATCTGAGAAGGCACTGGAGGCACCTGAAACAGTATCTGAGGAGCACCTGAGGAGGCATATCAGCAGCGCGTATGCTGCGGTTCCCTTCCGCGGCAGGTACAGCCCGCCACGCCTTCCCCTCGCCTCGCCCTCCGCCCCTGTCGCCGCCCCGCCATCCTCCTCCGCCCTTCCGCTACTCGCCGAAACCCCTCCGTCCGCCCTGTCCTCCCTCGTCGCCATCCCCTCGCGTTCCTCTCTAACGATTCTCGCAGCTCACTCACGAATCTAACTCCCAATCGCTCGAGCCGACACCCCTCGTCGCTCTCACTTGCTGTCGGCCATCCTGCCTTGCGTTGCTGTGTGATTCACCTGCATGCGGTTCTCTCACCCAGCGCGAAACTTCAGTGAATTCGCTTTCCAACGCTGCTACTAATTCGCGATGAGTGGCCCATGTCGTCGCATATGTCGTCGCATGTGCCGTCGCATATGTCATCAACTGTACCGTCGCATATGTCGTCGCACGTGCCGTCAGATATGCCGTCGTGAATCTCCTTGGGTCAGCGCGGGCCTGGTTGCGCTCTCAAACACCAGTCACAAGTAGCAGCTCGAATCCGCAATAAGAGTGTTTCTGTTACGGGTGCAATGAATCTAAATAGAGAGAATTGCACTAAGGTGTCAAACGAGTACAAAATGTGAGCGAAGGCATGAGCGAACATTTATACGCGAAACATGCAAACGGTAACGCGGTGCGTGCGAGCTAGATAGTGCTATGCTGGAAGCGAGGTTCGGGCTAGTCCCGAAGCGTAGGCCGATACGGCCAGGCCAGCAGTGCGAGGTTTGGTGAAACAGTGCGCGCGAAGTCGGCGAAGCCCTGTTAGCAGTAACGGGCGAACAACGGCTGCTGCTGTACGCGATGTTGCAGGGCGCGCTAAGGAATATCGAGAAAATTCCTTACACTACCCCCCCCCCCCCCCTCAAGAAACCCCCTCCGCTACGCGAGTGCGTGCATATCGCTGAAGCCCCGGCTCCTCACGTACACTTGCAGGGCAGGGTGGTTTTCGATGTTGGCCAGGGGCACCCAGCTATCTTCAGTTGGCATGCGGTCCTTCCAGCGAACGAGGAATTCAATCCTCTTGATTCCCGTGGGGTGTCGAATCCGATGGCTCATGATTTTTTCGGGCTCGATGGTCGGCTCCGATGCAGGGTGAGTCATGGATGGCGGGTGGTGACGAGGCAGTTGGCTTGTGGTTGGGATGTATGGGCGAAGCAGGCTGACGTGGAACGAAGGGCTGACGTACCAGTCCGTTGGCAACAGTAGGTGAGCTGTCACTAGGGTAATCATGTGGCTGATTTGGAATGGTCCACAGTAGCGGGGTCGCAATTTCGGTACGACGGACAGTCTTAGGTTCTATGTGTCGAGCAATACGTAGTCTCCTGACTGGTACGTGACTTGGCGGCGGTGGCGGTCAGCGTTGCGCTTAGCGATGACATTGGCTTTTTTAATTGCTTCTGCGGCTCTGGTGCGGGTAGCTTGCAAAATTTCGGCGAATTGTTGTGCGCGTGGCGTTGGGTTATCTGGACTCGGCGTCATGGGCACTGTAGGGTTTTGCCCGTAGTTCAGGTAGAAAGGGGACTGCTGCGTCGTCGCTGACGTGGCGTTGTTATACGCAAACTCGATCAGGGGCAGCTGCTATTCCCAAGTGGTCGGGTCGTCGCACGTGGCACGAATCAAATGCTCCATCGTCTGATTCGTCTGCTCCGTTTGACCGTCAGTCTCGGGGTTGTCGAAATATGTTATTCATATTTATATAATTGTCTGTAGTGTTAGTGTAGTTATGTTTCCCGTTTGGTGGTGCACCTCATTACCCTAGTTCTTGCCTATATCTTTGTACCTTTGCTCTTTATTGAAACCCTTCTTCACTCTCGACTTTTCAACACTCTCGATACTCAATTCACTCGAACTACTAGCTATGGCTCCTTAGCCTTGCTAGATTTTTCACATGATATCAGAGTGACCAAGATCCTGACCCGTGGGCCCACCCTAAAGCTTCCGCTGCTACTCTGTGTTCGGCACGCCCCGTGGCGTGCCCCTTATCCTTTTTTCTTAGCGGCCCCGTTGCCGCCCTTTCTGGCCCCTCGCGGCCCCTTCGCGGCCCTCCCGCCGCCCTTCACTGCGGCCCCGTCGCCCTTCGCGTCGGCCCCGCCGCCCTTCGCTGCGGCCCCGCCGCCCTTCACTGCGGCCCCGTCGCCCTTCGCTGCGGCCCCGCCGCCCTCCGCTGCGGCCCCGTCGTCGCCCTCACCTGCGGCCCGTCGCCGCCCTCATCTGCGGCCCCGTCGCCGCCCTCACCTGCGGCTCGTCGCCGCCCTCACCTGTGGCTCATTGCCGCCCTCACCTGCGGCCCCGACGCCGCCCTCAGCTTCAGCCCTGTCGCCACCCTCACTTGCGGCCCGTCGCCGCCCTCGGTTGCGGCCCCGCCGCCCTCACCTGCGGCCCCGTCGCCTACCTATGGCCCCGCCCACTTGCTGCCCCGACCCCGCCCCGGCCATGCCTCGTCGCCAGCTGCAGCACACCGGGGGCACGTGCACCGCCCCCCCCCCCTTTTCCCGTCACCTGTTGAGGCGACCTGAGGGGGCCGCGTGGAAGGGGGGGGCAGGCGTCGCCCCCTCTGCCGCCTGCTTTGGCGCCCGGGGAGGCCGTGCGTCGCCCCCCCCCCCCCCCCCCCCTCCCCTCTCCTCCTCCTTTTGCTCCCTCTGCTGCAGCTGCCGCTAGGGGGGAGGGTGTGAGGGTGTGGGGGAGCCCGGGGAGGGACTGGGGGTGGCGGGTGTGGGGGTGATGGGTGATGTGTGGTCTCCCCTTCCCATCCTCCTCCGTTCGCCCCCCTTCTGCTGCTCCTGCAGCAGTGTGGGGGGGAGGGGGAGGGGGAGGGTGAGGGGATGTAGGGGGTGACCAACCAGAGCCTACCACCTCCTCTCCTCTCTCTCCCTCTCTCTCTCCTCTCTCCCTTCTGTTCTCTGTTTTCTGCACTGGTTGTCACTGCTCCTGCCTACTGCTGCTACTTCAGCTGCACTCTGCATGGTGTACCCTCTTTAGGGGGCGTTACTACACTCACACCTGCAAACAATTATGGGGGTGTGTCGAGATATGTTATTCATATTTATATAATTGTCTGTAGTGTTAGTGTAGTTATGTTTCCCGTTTGGTGGTGCACCTCATTACCCTAATTCTTGCCTATATCTTTGTACCTTTGCTCTTTATTGAAATCCTTCTTCACTCTCGACTTTTCAACACTCTCGATACTCAATTCACTCGAACTACTAGCTATGGCTCCTTAGCCTTGCTAGATTTTTCACAGGGGTGGTACGACGAGCTGAACTGTAGCCTTGTCCCGAACTGCTCCCAGAGGTTCTTCCAGAAGTTGCTGGTGAAATTCGTGTCGCGGTCGCTGATTATCGCGGCTGGTATCCCGTGCAGTCGAACGACGGCTGCGATGAACAGGCGAGCGGTTTCTTCGGCTGAGATCGATTTCTTGCACGCAGCGAAGTGTGCCATCTTCGTCAACCTCTCAACGACGACCATAACTGCGTCGTTACCCCCGGGGTTCGAAGGTAACCCCGTGACGAAATCCATGGTAACCTGCTGCCAGGCGCGCTCAGGCGGTGGGATCGGCTGCAACTGACCCGCCTTTCTTTTTCGCGAGCTCTTCATCACCTGACACGTAGGACTCGAGCCCACGTGGTTCTGTACGTCGGTCAACAGCTCCGGCCAGAAGTAATCCCGCTGCAGTTGCTGTCGCGTTTCTTCTACCCCGAAATGTCCTAAGATAATCTCGTCGTGTGCCTCCTGCAGTAACAGTTCCCTCAGTAGTGAGTACGCGGGTACCCAGATGCGGTTGGTGCCTGTTTTTACGCAATAGACTCATTTGGCCTCTGCCAGTTGCTGTGAATTTCCGGTCGTGAAAAATGGGTCGGTACTGTATCCGTGGGTGAATAGGCCTGTTAGAAGTGGGTTGGTTTGGGCGAGTAGAATGGCATGGAGTTGGGCGGTGGGGCGTGTGAGTGCGTCGGCGATGTTGGATGCGCCTTTTTTGTACGTGACCGTGCAGTGGAAGTTGGACTCCAGATAGTCCAACCAGCGGATCTGTCGTGGGTTAAGATTCGGTTGGGCGCGGAGGTACTGTAGGGATTGGTGGTCTGTCCGTACTGTAACGTCGGCTCCCGTGAGGTAACATCGCCACACTTTGAACGCGTGCACGATCGCCAGCATTTCGCGGTCGTGTATCGGATAGTTGCGTACGGGCGGGTGAAGCTTGCGGGACTCATACGCGATTGGCTGAAGGTCGTTCCCAAAGTCCTGCAATAGTACTGCTCCCACAGCAATGTCGCTAGTGTCGGTGACGAGTTCAAACGAACGGTGCGGATCTGCGATGTGGAGTACGGGGGGTGAGCACAAAATAGTTTTGAGGGCCGAGAAGGCAGCCTCCTCTTTCTCCCCCCACGTGTACTCAACCCCCTTTCTCAGCAGGTCGGTCAACGGGGCAGTCAGCTTCGCCATGTCGGGGACGAACCGGCGCACGT